AAGACATCCTATCGGCAACTGGCGTTGGAATTACAAGCGGTTGGATGTGCCAGCTTTGCAGAACAATCTACAGCAGGTGAACGGGAAGTTCACCTTCAACTTGATGTGGATGCCCATTGGGAAGAGGACAGGCTTCATCACCATATAGAGCTTATCGATAAATTTATCTCTAATTCCAAAAGCTTATTCCGTCATGCAGCCTCTTTTCGACAAGCCAAAACTGGAGTCTTCCAATGATAAGGTCATAATGGCCCGATCGAAAACGACGGTGATGCGGCTAACCTTCTGGCAGAACAATACTCTCGGACATTTCAACCGACCTACACAAACCTTACTGATGGACGCTTCATCTACAACTATACAGGAAGTGAACCTGACGGCTGACGTGATGTACCGGAAACTGTAGCACCTAAAAAAGGATATAGTTCTTTCTGCAACACTGAGGAAATAAGCTTCGAACTTGGCAACACCATTTAGTGTGATGTTCTCACATTCGCTAAGCTGAGGCATATTATCAGAAAATTAAAACCTGACTCATACAACGCCAATATTCAAAGGAGGTCGACGCAGCGAACCTTCAAGCTACCGGCCGGTAACACTTTACTCCATATACTCAAAAATTATGGAGTATCCGATAAGGTCTACAGGACTACTTAACATCCATAAATAACATTTCAGCTGTACAGTATAGTCTCGGAAAAAGTGACTCTTGTGTACAGAACCTGCTGACTGTGGTGAACAGATGGACAACTATCCTTGATGGCAAGGTGAAGGTCGATGTCATATACCTTGGCTTCTCAAAAGCTTATGGTAGGGTCAACCATATATGCTGTATCAGTACGCCTAACTGATTAGATTTCAAATCACCTTCAATCGACATTTAAGGATTAGGGTTAAATTCAGTTTCTCTCTGGCTATGGAATGTCCTGGTGGGGCCCCTCGGGGTTTAGTACTAAGACTTCTTTACTTGATTTATATAGGGGGTCTTCCACAACAGGTATCGTGGGATTTTCTACTTTTCGTTGATGAGGTAAAACTCCGGAGAGAAGTTTGCAACGAAGAGGATTTGACTGGTCTTCGAAGTTGTTCAGATAACAACGGATATAAATTTAATATTTCAAAGTGTAGAGTAGTCTACTTGAGACATTTTTCAGACTACAGCTACAACTTAGTTAACTCCCCTCTAGAGGTACCCCAAGTTGAAAAAGCTCTAGGAGTGTTGGTAACCTACGATAACCGTGACAAAAATGCCTTTCGAGCAAGCCTTGCACTGGTAACATTGGAGCGCATTTTTGACCAGTTCGACGGTAGAACTTTTCATACTATCTTCAACAGTTTTATTCGTCCCTATTTAGAGTACCGGGAACTCGAATTCAAACCTTATGAAGAGCGCCTCGGAGATGACCTTATGATAGCATACAGCATCCCAAATACTTATGAACATTCCCTTAAACACCTACTTATGCTTAGTTCCAACACAAATCTAAAGGGAAAAACCCAAAAACTGGAAACAAAGCACAGCTGTACGGTCTGAAGACACACCTTCTACTCCCCAAAAGCAGTCCAATGCTGGAATTTGCTGCCGGCTGAGCTGGTTCAAGTGACTTCCAGGAGTTCTTTAAGAGAAAACTTGACATATTTCTAAGGTCTATTTATGGTATCTTAATATAATTTCCCAACTTCGTTTCCTATTTCGTCGATAAAATGCCTAGGTTCCTGCGCGAAGTTATCGGTGGTTCACTGTTATCAGATACGGATGCCCATTAGGCGAAAGCTTCTTGTATCCCGTCAAAAACCATTTGAATCACTTGAACGTCAAGACAGATTCAGATTAGTGTAGTAAGGACAGAAGGCCTACGGCTTATGTTATTCCTTTTCTAGTATGCTTCTGTGACTATTCAGCCTTCACTTGAATGCGCCAATTGAAGGCAAAGACACCACTACTTCGGGTAACAGGTTCCAAGAATTGATGACTTGATGTGAAAACCTATATGTCACGGGTACTTTGTTCGCTTTGGCTTTTCTACTCACCAATACTTTTTGTTCGAAAAACGCACGTATTTGTTATTAAACTCAACGTTGATTCCTTTAAGTTCTTTGGAAACTCTCTCGCGTTTGAGAACTCTCACTTATTATCCATACATAGATCTCATTGAACAAACAGCTCTCTATTTCAGCCCGTCAAGTTCGAATTGCTGACAGCGGTTGTTTTGACGTCGCGTGCGTTGTTGCTAGATGGACGTTGTTCGTAAATTAGCTAAAGCTCTAGCCTCTAATCAAGATAAAGTGAGGCGAAAGGCACAGAAGCAAGTAAAAGTACTCCTTTCAAAGAAATCATTGAATGGAAAAGGTTGGATTTATTCATTTATCACCATATTGTTCAATAAAGTACCAAATGATTCTAGACTTATGTAATATTTATAAACTTTGTTCTGACATTACAGAAATGTCAGCAAAGACAATAGACAAAATTATGCATGTCATCGAGTCACTAATTCAATTTGTCGAAGTCCACTTTGTTGATTTATCTAGTCCTTATGGTTAAGGATCTAGTAATATGCCTCTAATGCGCAAATACATTTTAACCTTGAAAGTTTACTCTGCGAAGTTGCTAATTTTAGCAACTACGATTATTCGTAGTCAGGGATGATCACTGGAAAACTCGGGACTTTCCACAATGAGTAGCGCTGGAGTATGAAACATTTCGGTAGAGGCACTTATCAAACAAGAATTCTTCTGACCTATGTCGATCTTCGAAGATATTCAGCATCCTAAATATCTTTAATATTTCTTTATCATTTTGTGTTACTCCCCATGTCTTAACACTGCCAGTTTATGATAAGACCATTGCAGTTTCAGGATATATATATATATATATATATATAGTTGTTGCTTCATGACTGGCCTGCGTCCACACCTGATTTGATGATAGGGAGTAAAGTTGTTGGACGCGTCGACAACTTCATTTATCTTGGACTTACATCACCTATGACGAAGGCGAGATATCCGTTTGTCAATTAGGGAATGAGTATATTGCTCAACAGTTCGTTCTGTTCTACTTTACGGCTACAAAACTCGGCTATTAAGAGTAGAAGATACTCGTAATTTACTAATATTTGATCACATTAATATTGCTCTCATCTTCTGGGATCACCAGAAAAGTAATAATGAGGTTAGACACAGAGTATTAGAGAACGATGAGGTTGTGAATCTTCGACTGAAATGGTGGGGTCACTTATTATCATGCCCAACCACCGATTACCACGATATCCAATGCTGACTAGTGTTGAAGACGGATGGAAAAAGTCAAACCAAGAAGTGACATCAGTGCTTGAATTCACTAACTTCTGGTCTGAGCCATGTTGGTAGATTCAGACTACTTGGTTGGGGTCAGCACAACTATCTTAACCAATGGTTGGAGACTCTGGGTGACATGTACTGTATCCTTTTTGCAATCTTTCTTTTATATATTACCACCTTTGAATTAACTACTTTTATGAATCCGGTGTCCTTGTTGTGTTAATGAGGTATAGCAACTTGGACCGATGCATATATGTGCCTGATCCTACGTTGTAGCTGACTGGGTGACATGGCTCAGAATCGGTCACATTGGGGTAGGTGTATACACTATTTGTCTTTCCTTAAACCGTGACACTAAAATTACTTTACACCTTTCTCTCTACGAACTAATTATTTCTTCCTGTATCATATCCTCATATGCAATCTTTCTTTTATATATTACTACCATTGAAGTAACTACTTCTATGAATTTGGTGTTTATCTTGTTGTGCTAATGAGGTGTGGCAACTTGGACCGATGCATATATGTGCCTGGTCCTACGTTGTAGATGGCTGACTAACTGAACTCTTGATAAGTTCAATGCTTAGCATTCTACCTTTCAGCCTACATAAGTGACTTGATTCAGACAATCTAGATCCTGCCGAAAACGATAGTGCAATCATCAGTCAAATTGCCAATATGAGTTTATCGAAAACATCTTGCATGAAAATTCGTGGTTCATATGCAGTCAACGTTTAGATAATTCAAGAAACCTGTTAATTTCCATTCACCCTCTGGTCAGATTCTATTAAAAAAAACCAAAGTTTGGCTTTAAAATCGATATCCCATTATTTTTTTTCTTACTTTACAGTTCTTGGCATTTTCTCACTTTTAATGTGCCAGCATGTATAGATACGCACTCGTACTACACTGTGCTTAAATGTCGATTTAACCAGTCATATATACCTAACGGGCGTAAAGTTGACGAGTTGGTTCCAATTCGTATTGATTGAAACTTTGCCCAGTTATCTGGGGATGTTATAGCAGTGACTTGCGATGGAAAGTTTTTGATAGGGTTCATCGACACGTGGTCGTGTTTGGAGACGAATAGTCAATACTAATCTATGTTTTCCGTAGTTTAGTTCCACTGTTATACAGCAATGTCCTCGAAACTTAATAGCTGGGTTTTTCAATTCTAATTTGACGAATAAACCTCCTACCCAAAAATAGTCAAAAGTTTTGGCTGGTCAAAAAACAATAAAACTACAAGGATCCCATAACAATCTAACCAAGATTTGGGTTCAATTGTGTTATAACGGGACGAGTATTAGAAAATTCGAACTTTCGGAACTGTTCTAACTGAAGTTATTTATATTTTTGTTCTTCATTAAGTACTTAAATTATTGCATTCCTATGTTCTCCCATCTCTAAGCCTTCGTTTGATCCATAAATCGTTGTGACTCCTTATCATTCCAGACATCATTAATTGATTACTTGCTTATCATTCTGGTCTTGGATCATTTATGATCAAGTTATATACACATTTAAAGTTTTTCTGCTTATGTTGCTGTGTGGTCAAGACATTTCATCTTCAAACCCTAATGTTTCCGATTACTGCTTATACTCTTACCACCTCTACCACTACGGGATTTGAATCGAAAACTGCATCTCTGTGCTAATGTGGTGTGGCAACTCGAACTGATGTACATACGTACGAAGTTCTACGTTGTTACTGACTGACTGACATTATTTTGTGGTTTTAAGTCAAAATAAAATTGAGTGCAGTAGAAGACTGATCTGCCTTCTACTTTCGTCTTTTTGATTAGTCAGTCAGTCAGGAGCTTGAGGGACCAATGAGGGTCGACATCTTGGTTATTGTTCATTGGGCGATGTGTCAATCGGTAAATAGTTCTTTAGTCCTACTGGCAATACAAACGAATTAATCGATAATCGGGTTAGAAACAGGCCATTGCAACTGCTCCCTTGTCGTTACGAACTGACCATACAAAACCCAATGTAATTCAACCCAAAAATCTAACCTACTGTTTTCTTCCTATTTAAATTAACAAAATTTCGGGTAATCTATGTTGTGTAGTCGATGGTTCTAACTGTTGTTGCTACCAAATAACTAATTTATGCAACAGTTTGCCATTGACTTTGGTAGTTGCAATGGGACAGGCTTCCTTTGGTATGTTTCTCAATTTCTTCCCCCAAATTATGATGACCAGAGTCGAGATGTTATCATATACTGTGATTTGGACGTAAAAGTTGGACCATAGAATATGTAGTTAAGGGAAGGAATAGTTCCTTAAGGTTTTATTTTCAGGAAAAATTAAGTGTAGTAACTATTCAGAACCTGACGACTTAGTATTTCTCAAATATTGTAATATCTAAAATTGTTTATGAGAATGCCAAACTTATGTAATTTACCTTTTGTCACGACTGATTGTATGTTATTAGATATATTAATTGTTTTCATACTAGTGGTTGTATAACTTCCTGGTTGTGAAGCTTTGAAAATGAACTTGTTCTTATGTATTACAGTTACATAAATCTACATTATTTTTTTATAACCATTGTCTTCGTTCAATCGACCATTACAGATGATTGGACTTACGAACAGTTGCTAGGCATTTGCAAAGGTCTTCACTACAGTTTATGGATGCAGGACAAGTTGCTGCTGAAGGTACTTACATTCAATTTATATTTTTTACTCAAAGGAACAAACGGTCGTCCGGTTATGTAACATATTACCCAATATTGAGGACAACACGGTCACATTGTATTATTCTTATGCTATGTTTGAAACACTAGCAAGAGAATGGGACAATTTAGATTACTGGAGGGTAGACAAATTTATGCTGGTAAGTTGAAATGCAGTTCATTCGTTGTTATCTAGCTCGGACGAGAATTTTTTACGAGAGGCCTTCAGTTTATTTCTTGCAAAAAACCTGAAATTTTACCTTCATTTGTGGAGGCCATTTTCACCAAGATATTGAACAATGACATAGATCATGCTGTTGGTCTAAAATTGCATTTCTGCACTCTAATAGGTGAAGAACTTCCGAAAAAGGTATGTGTCTTTAAGTTTTTAACTATAGGGGAATGGCAGAACGTAAAAATGTTATCTCTGCAGTTAGTCTTTCAATATCTCCTGGTTTTACTAGCTTCCCTACCGAAGTGAGATCGTTTGAATGATTTTCATTGTTATTTAGACACAACATTTACGCTCACAGTGTCCTATCTCTGATTACTCGGATAACAAAGCTTATTCGAAGACGTCCACAAGTATGCTTGGTTCCTTTATTTTTAAACATAATTTTAATTCAGTGTTGTTTGGATCGTATTATGAAATGTCTTGAGAATATTTTAAGCAAAGATTCCTCCTATAGAAACGCTTTAAAACGAGTCGACACAAAGTAATTTAACTGCCTGATTATCTAGTGGCTTTCTTTAGTCTAAAAAGAATTCTGGCAAATAGAGAAACTACATCAGTAGCAACCGATGGACAGATTCCCACGCTATGTGCAGAGTCGTCACCTGAGGTAAAAGAATGTTCCACTATGTTTACTCCGCATAGACGACAAATCTCGTTCCCAATACTTGTGAGAATGTAAATAGTGAAGGTGGTTCATCAGAGCTTAAGGTGAGTATTCCTGATAAATTTGACTTGTTTCAGATCGGAAAGAAAAAAATTCCGAAGGTTTTAAAGAAGAAAAAACGGGTGATTAAAAAACGTTCATATGCTGAGACCGCTAACGTAATTCACTACTTACTTTCCAACTACTTTTAGCCCGTAAATATAGAGTTCAGCAATCAAGCTGATGATTTTGTCGAAGAATCACGTCCGAAGAGAATGAAGTCTGAAATACCCACAAAGGTAACTTATGTAATTACGTCTAATTGTAGTCTGTTGACGAATGCACAGCAGTTCCATGTGTAGTTCCTGATTCTCCATGCCCTTTTTCAGCATGTGATGATGAATCCAAACCAAACGTCGGTCAATTTATATCTCCTAATGTTTCAATAAGTGGCAACTCTGCTTCTGCAGAAAAGTGTACTTCAAACACTCCGCTTTCTTCTGAAAGACGTGTATCCTTCGGTAAGGTATTTCGTAAGAGTAGGTTTACTGCACAGTTCTCCATAATGTAAATTTTAGAATTTAACTCAGCTCGTTGCATCTCCCTAACCCCACCGGTTAGTGTTATTCCAGCCAAGGGAATTTTAAGAAGTAACAGTAAGTAGCATGCTTTTCTTATCTTTTCTGCAGAATCTATAGCTGATGACGCGAAAGCTAACGTTTCGTTCTAATTTAAGTTGTAATTTTGTACATATAAATGAAATAAACACAACGTTTATGTATCAGTCTCTTTGGAAATTACATGTTAGGTAACAGAAAAAAACTTTTTACGCCAATCTTAGTTCTCTGCGAATAGAAATTATCTGATTAAATGAATTTTCACTGATAAAAATGAATCTACGCGTTTAAAGTGGCTAACTAAATATTATTCTCTATCGATACATAAATTAATTCAGTATGTATCGTTGTTGCGAGACCGTTTTTTAAATTCTTTAGAGCAACAATGGAAAACTTTAGATCTCAGGAACATGCCATTTTCCTCTTTGGTAGAATGGTGATTTTATCTAGCGTCTGTATGTTCTGTAACATGGACACCATAAAGAGGTTGTGTGTTAGCCGGTACCTAAAATGAAGACATCAATTCTGTGGATCAACACAGTTCGTAAACGAAATACATGTGTTTGAGCAGACTCGTTGGTTAAGGGTCGAGAAAAGAAGGAAGAATCAACAGGTTATACGCTGAAAGATTCTCATTTTCGCTTTGTGATATCTTTGGGGCCAATACCCCCTTGAGCGCCCACAAATGCACTGGTACGGCCGAAGGTAGGGAGAGTCCGCTCTCTTAAAATGCTCTCACATGGCCACGCGTGTACGGCCACTGCCAGGGAAGTCCTCGTGGGGGGACTGTTGTTCACGAAATTGAGAGAACGAAAAGAGAATGTTCGGCGCTTAAACCGGGTTGGTGGATATGGAGGATCCACCTACGGGAGTAGGAAAACCCTGATTCCAAACCAATGGTGCGCATGGGCTCCAGGATCCTAAGGGAAAAAATAGCGTACAAACTAGTTATTGGCCACCGACTACCATGGGACTGCATCTCCTGATGTTTCTCTACTGCCTTGTGAATTAGACTTTTAGGTCGAAGAATTCGGGTATGGCCCTCTAAGAAAACCACTTGCTTTAGTCTGGACAGTATCACACCCACACACAATCAAGTGACTTGTGTAGCGCATATGTATTCGGCGCCTCTTTGTGCTCAAATAAATACCTACGGCTGATTCGGTATGGCGAGCTAACCCTCAACTAATGGGCTGGTGTTACACACCCGTAGTTTTTTAACAGCAGGCTCTTTTAATCTAAATCGAAGTGAAACCCTCAGTAATTTGAGCTACACAAACAATCTACTCAGATCATGCTACTGAATGACATTTAGGAAAAGGGTGTATTCCCTACATATGAAGACGGTACGTGGAATAAATAGTCGATTTTATTACTCTATGAGGGATCCAAATAATCAACTGTATTTAAGGGGGCGTATGGTCATTTAAAGTACAACGCCTTAGGGCAAATCTTCATAGTTCATCTCATCAATATACCTTTTAATTAAGACCAATCCTATTTACCCATTGGAATTAAAAGAGCAACGAACTTTCAAAATAGATTTTATACACGATAGGCTGCTTATTGTGCAAACCAAAAATATTGGTGTGACAGTACAAAATGTCTTTATACTGTTATTGCAGAAGTGAGACTATACAATTTACGTACTGACCAATTAACATCAGGAAAGCTTAATCACAGTGCAAAAATATTTAAGTTTATGTTATTTAGTAATCAAGATTCAAAAACAAATCCACGGCCTGTGAGGTCTTGTTTTGCTTCACTGACTAGCTTCATAAGCTCCGTGGACGCCTCTGGACAATCATTAAAACTGTATGTACGATACAGTATAATCAAAACGGAAACTGTTACAAAAATGAATAATATGTGAAAAGGCAACCAGTTGAGTATCATGTTTCCGCAGTCAGACTGTACTGTGATAATCCCCATTAATTTAGACATCCATATTGCGGAAATCAAAGATAAAACAAGAAGCCATTCTACTATTTTCTTCATGGTGAACGTGGACAATAAAATCAACTTAGTTACGATAGGGACGAGGTCTTCGGGAATATTTTCAGTTGATTGAAGAGTAGGCAACTTTCGTAGTAACTGAAAAATAGGAGGAATGATGAGTCAATGAAAAGCTTTGTATTTAAAAGTCAGTAGTTTAACAATTGCATTTCTGAGAAGTCTAACTGATCGCAGTGTTGGCAGCCTTAGGAACTTCAGAACAAATACAAGGTAAAACCCGGCATAATGGACACTCAGTAGCTTACCTTAAATAAATTCGAAAATTATGGGGAAAAGCAACTCGACTATAACTTTTGACATGAAAGCGACGAGGCTAGCAGTGCACATTCACGAACAAATAAGCCGACTAGGTCTAAAAGGCCGATAACTGGTGGAAGTATAGTTGGGGATGAGGTGGTTCGCTGAAAATAAGAGACTGGAACGATGGGGCAGAATCTTTCACGGCTTTGAGTCTTATTATTGTATGTCGCCCCTGTGCAAAAGGAAAATGGAGCAATTTTATCCTCATTTTTATTTACGTACTATCTGGTGATTGCAGTGACTAACAAGTCTAACGCACTCGTCGGTAATGATCAGCAGAAACACTACCTTAACCACTTAAACTAATTTGAATACCAAATTTACTAGGGTTACTACTCATGACTCCAAAACTTTACAATTGTAAATCAAAATACTAACGATCTCTACAAGTGGCGACAGTTAATTGACGAGGACTTAGAATCAATCAGTCAAAGGGAAAGTAGAACCTAACACGTGTATACCAGTGTACGCTGCTATCCTCAAAGGTGAGATGAATTTGTAAGGGCAAATCCCAGAATAGTTGAGGCAGTGAAAACATTAGTGGTAATAGGAAAGATTAGGGATCCATGATACGATTAAAATATAAATCAGCGAGGAGGATTCCATCAACTTAAAGGGGAGATAGACCTGATGAACACGCGTCATTGTAAACGATGCTGAACTATGGCAGCCCTAAACGTCTGTTACGATGACCATGCAGACTCTCAGCTGATAGTCCGCACCTACCTACCTAAAATGCGGCCTACAGACATTCTTTTCGATAGGTGTCACTTAATTTATTGTCTATATTTAACTGCGCTTCATGAAATCTGTGGAGTCATTACCCTTCCGATGACTCATGGGCCTAATAATTTCTACATATTATTGATCTAGAAATTGCTGATCCGAGCTCCCAATTTTGTGGAAATGGCACAAAAACCCGGAAATTTCCCCAAACGTTGGGGACTTAACCAAAATTGGGAGCTCGGGGAGTCATTCAACACACTCTCGTCCCAGGTACAAAAGGGATTCTTGGTAGTGTCTAGCAAGCCAATATATGCATGCATTTAAAGCGTTTGGTTCTCAAGATTTGATGTTCATCTGTTGCATTCCACTGTGCTAAGCTAACTTTTCTGGCAATGTATATCTAAATATATGGAATAGGTGTTGTAGGTGCATTTATATATCCAGAGTATAAGAAAAGAGCACTCCGCGAGTGATTTTTAGAAAATGTGATGAAATAACCCGAAATCGTTTAGATTCACAGCTGACTGGTGACTAAATAGGCAAATATTCGGGGGAGACTAGTTGTAAAACACGTTGTGCCAAACAGTAGGAACAGTAAATTATGCAAGAATCCATAGGCAACAGACGTTTTAGGGATCCCAGGATAGTAACACTAAGCGAGACATGTTTCAATGACTTACAACTTACAGCCCGTAGACTTAAGTCGTGGCGTCCATTTGGAAATACCCGCACTGTCGAGTAGTAGCATGTTCAAATGGTTGTGGACGGAATAGAAGAAGCTTTCGCTTAACAGGCTTCCGTTTCTAGTAGCAGAGGATCACCAAATCCTCCAGGCAGGAACCTAGGTATGTTAACAATAAAAGAGGAAAAGAAATTAGTAAATCATAGTGTGATACTATCCTTAGTTCTTAAGAATAGATCAAGCTGTCTCTTAAATGACTCCTGCGAATTTGCTTGAACTAGCTCGCTCGGCAGCGAGTTCCAGCTTTTGACAACTCTTAAGGAGTAGAAGTTGTGTCTACAGTCCGTTCTTCTATGTTGTGTTTCAAGTTTTTGGGTGTTGCCCCTTAGGTTATTATTCGAACTAAGCTTAAGTAGGTGTCTGAGAGGATGTCCAGAAGTGTTAAGAATACTATAAGCCATTAATAGATCACCTCTAAAACGTCTATATTCTAATGGGTAAAGGTTAAGTGAATGGAGGCGTTCTTCGTAAGGTTTAGATTTGAGTCCTCGAACTGATTTCGTAGCTCGCCGTTGGATACGCTCCAGGGTGTTCTTATCCTCTTGGAGTGAGGGGGAAATACTATGTTTCCGTACTCTAAATGGGGACGGACGAAACTATTGAAGATTGTATGGAAACTTCGTCCGTCAAACTGTCCAAAAATGCGCTCCAACGTTACCAGTGCAAGGTTTGCTCGGAAGGGATTTTTGTCACAGTTAGCGTAGGACTTCAAATCATGGGGCATCAGGACTCCTAAATCTTTTTCGACTTGGGATAATACAAGAGAGGAGTTTCCTAAGTTGTAACTGTAGTCTGCGACATGTCGCAGATGGACTACTTTACACTTTGAAGTGTTAAAGGTAAGTCCGTTATCGTCTGGCCAACTTTGAAGTCGAGTCAGATCCTCCTGAAGTGCCTGTATATCGTCTTGGTTGCGTATCTCTCTCCAAAGTTTCACGTCGTCGGCAAAAAGTAATAAGTCTGACGTCACCTGTTGAGGAAGATCATTTATGTAGATCAAGAAGAGAAGAGGCCCTAGTACTGAGCCCTGGTGTATCCCACTAGGACATTCCATAGCCTGAGATAAAGTGTCGATTTTTTAGGTATGAAGTAAGCCAATCGATTAGAGGTGGTCTGATACCCAATCGTTTGAGCTTATTGATAAGACACAAATGGTTAACCTTATCAAAAGCTTTTGAGAAATCAAGGTAAATGATATCAACCTTTCCCTTGCGATCGTGGATGCTTGTCCATCTGTCCACCGCAGTCAGCAGGTTGGTAATACAAGAGTAACCCTTCCTGAAACCATGCTGTTGGGGTGAGAAGAAATTTAAGGACAGTAAATAGTCATTTATACCATCGCATATCAGGGACTCCATGATTTTTGAAGGTATGGAGAGAAGAGCCACCGGTCGGTAACTTGAAGGTTCGCTACGTCGACCTCCTTTGAAAATTGGTGTGATGTGAGCCAGCCTCCAATCTTCCGGTAGT